ATCATTGGGGGCCCGTTTCTCCAATTTGACGTGTTCCGGTACCCCCCCCAACCTCCGAAAAATGGTGCTCGGGCCCAGATGGCTTTGGAGGCTAGTTTTCAAAAATCTCCGTGCTCATGATGCAGATTTTGGGGGTTTGGGGGACCCCCAAAATCCTTCAAAAATCCTTCCGTGCCTTGGGCCGGAACGCGTGTAAATTTTGGATTGGTTTTGGAATGAAGGCATTGTTGTGAAGGACCCGAAAAGTGGGGTGCATGAATGGGGGGCCTGAGGGGTTAGGAGGGGTTGGGCTGGCCCTGGGCTCGAAGAATTAAAGTATACTATACGCGAGACACTATGCGAAGGACCCAAAAAGTGGGGCGCATGAGGGGCCTGAATCATTGGGCTTGCCTTGGGCTTGATTAAGCGGGATGGGTTGGGGTTGAAAGCCGCAAGGCGGTAATTGAACACAGCTTCACGGGCGCCGCCCCGCTGGGGTCGGCGGATAAGGTTATAGTCCCCCTTAAGTAGATAGAACATGGCTTTGGGCATTGTAATAAGATCCCCATATACCCCATGTTCTATCTACTTCAGGGGGACTATATGACTTGTACTATATATTCCCTGGATAACCTAATCGTCGTGGAGGAGTGGATGATGCTGAGCAAGCTGCTTGAACTGGATGTTGAGGAGGAGTGGTAGCTGGTAGCTTCCAGAGAAAGGGGACTCTATGTAGACCCGAATGTATTACAACTACAATCATAATATTCCGGGACACCCCAAAACGGTACCCCTATTTTAGGAAACTCCCAAATTATGTGGACGGTGGCATGGGCCTGTACCAATGCCTTGTATCCTGCAGGCTGAAGGCAGCTTCGAGCACTGGGAGATCAAGAAAAGCAACGTGGGGCCAACAGTTTACAACACCGGAGGGCTCTTCCCAAGCAACTGCGGCGCTAGAATGATGACTGGACATGCCAGGAGTTTTGCAAGGCTTGTGGCAGTAAGCTGTGAGCTCAGCTTCAGCAAGCCTCCTTGAACACGATGCTTGTTGGTACTCCCAGTTTTGGTATTGGTATTTTGGGTTGCTGTTAAGGGACTTATTAAGCTACCATAATGGGTATATATATAGTAAATGATAGGGTTTCCCCAATTAAGTAACTTAAATTTAGTTCCTTCACTGCAGCCAGTATTGCGTGCTTCAGGTTTATGCCAGATGCCAACTTCTGCCGGAATTGTGGCAAAAAGCGACCGAAGCTGGTGTGGGGCCAACTCTCATCCAGCTGTTTGACGGGTTAAACTTGTGTTGTGCGTGGACGCTGATTGTGGTTTACGGAAGGAGGGGGGGCGGGGCGGCTGTGGATGCGAGAATCTTGCCGCAATGACGAAAGTATATATTGTGTTGAAGGGTGGTCTTGCAGCGACAATGAGAGGATCGGATGTTGTATTAGTAGGAAGTCGACTTACAAAGTCAAGATGCCATCCGAGTATCCAGCCACTCTCTCCAGGGAGAGTTCCTGTCGGTGCTGGGAGTGATGTTTGTGGGCCGAGGCCGAGCTAAAGGCAGACCGAAGTTTGCGACTGAGCTTCGACTGCTTGGCTTTCTGTGGTTGGATATCGTGTCTGTCAAAATGATGATTCTTGTTGGTTCCCCGTACCCAATCGGAGAGTACATGTTCGACAGCCGCCCATACGCCATATGCCCAATCAGGTGCCAAGGTGCCCTTAGCTGCTTTCTTGGATGAGCATGGCATCAAGCAGTCGGACTGACAGCGGCTGGCTGTTGTAGATCAGAGCCACCTCATATGAGCTATAGTCTTAACTCCTTAGAGGGGGTTATATAGGGGATTATATACGGGAATATTACAGGAGTTATTAAGGGGATACTGGGAGTTTGGACTATATAGCTCATATGATAACTCTTTCGTTGCCCGAGTCGATCAGGACCGAGACTCCTTGGAGCACGTCCAGGCCATGTTGGTGGTGGCTCGCGAAAAGCTGGCCTTACTCCCAGCTGCTGTTGATGATGTTTGGTGCCAAAATGGTAGTTTCCCAAAATTAGGGTACCCCAATATAGACCCCAATATACTAGTCCTTATTAAAGGGACCCCCAAACAGGTACCCCTGATTTTGGGAAAGCCCCAAATCCAGCACGTGGGCAAGATGTCCCAGACCAGTGCCGTATTGCAGCAGCTTGCCTCGGGGACAGCGCATAGCAAGTTAGTCATGGTACTATGCGACAAGAAACTTAGCATCCCAGGTATAGGTCTTATATGAGTGTTAGGACCAGGTTGCACAGCGTGCCCAAGCATTTTAGGCAGAGCTGTGAAGTTGCTGTGAACTTGTAGTTTGCCATGTCCGATGGCTATGAGAGCGTAATTCCGGTTCTGCACATTGCGGTCCTGGGCCCTCCTGGCAGCGGCAAAACTAGCCCTGAACTGAGCCTGAGAGATCGTACGCAGTTAGCATTCCGGTTGGCTTCGCTTGCAGTGCAGTTCTAGATATCTTGCAGCAGGCGCACGGAATCTTGATGCCAAAGCAACACCAAGGCCTCGTCAATTCCTGGGTCAACAATAGCATCCCATCAGAGACTTGGGCTTGAACACGTTTTCGCGCCTTGTTGACGTAGCACAGTTTAGCATGAAGTTCGACTTCCTCAAGCATTTCGAATTGCGCGCTCGCAGATGCAAGGTGGCCACTTCCACAAAGAAGACGATGCCTGACTTGCACCAGATTTTGTAAATCGGGTGTACCCATCGTAATAATTAATAGTAATGATAGTAAGGAATCGTAATGCTAGTAAATCCTGGTGAGCTGGGTCCCAAGGACCACTTACTACAGATCCGTGCTGCTCCCCAACCCGCTCCATGAAGGCACGGGATACGGTGGATCCCGAATCCTGCATGACCTTGAGTACCTTATACCTAGTGAATTGTGGTATCATAGTATAGTACACGGCAGAGAGAGAGAGTATAGTAAGGTCGTGCAGGGCTTTTAAGATCAACAGTATCACAGGATGCTTTTTGGGTGGGGGGTTCAAGGTTCCGTCTTATGCAAGGTGACAACTTTACCACGTTGGTAGAGGTGACGGACAGTGTGCTGCATGCCAGTCGCCAAGACTTCCACAAGTTGCACCCTTGTTGTCTCTATCTCGCTGGCGCGACTCGATTTTTCATGTATACTGCCACTCAGGATGCATCTGGCCAGCTTTCAGACGAGCAGTACCAGAAGTTGCTGGCCCAACTGGTTTGTGGGCCTGCCATGTTAGTGGGGTCCGTGAATAGATACCTACCATGAAGGTTGAGATAGGGAGAGGCCTTGCCGTCCAAGTCACTGCATAAAAGTTGGAGCCGGTGCTCATTGTTAACCTTTCATGTTGCGCCGAGAGAGATGTAGTGCTATGAAGCAACAAGGTTTTGCAAAGCAACTGGGGCCAACGAGGGAATGATGTCGTCATACAAGCGACTTGTCTGGATTTTGAAGCCGCCTTGGTAGGGAGGGGCTTTGGGGCTGTGGGCTGTGGCCTTTGTCTGGTCTCTATCTGGGGTCTCTGAAGAATGCAAGGCACCCCATGCAAAACTCCGAGGCGGCCGTCTTTTCAACAATGCATGCGAAGCTATGAAGACTTATGCGATTGGTGGAGAGCTTGTTGAGTGTAAGTCGCTTTGTTAGGTTGACCCCTCTGCCCAAGAACCGCCTTTGCTGGCCGGAAGTCGCATGGGAAGCTCAGCTGATGAAAGTGCAGCAATTTCTGCAGACGACACGTTGAGGTGCCTTCTCGGTGGGAAGTTTGCCTAGGCTTTATAGTCCTCTTCGATGCAACATCTGCGGCTTCGCTGGACGCTGCCAAGCAGTACATCTCGGCCTGGTCCTGAGCACCACAGGAAGAGGACATTAGCAGATGAACAGTCCTCAACGCCAATTTGTTTTGCCACTTCTGCTTGGCAGAACTTTGTGGCACTGTTCAGATTCCAAAGCTTCTTCTGCGGTAGTAGTCAGTAGTATTCAGTAGTCCTCCAGCTGGCAACAGTGGGCAGCTTTGCCACGGATTTGCGCCACAACATCCTTGCCGAGCTGAAACTAAAGCATGCCAAGGAACTTAAGGGTGTAATGTAAACCCCTACTTTATATTGGAGTTATATCGGGATAATGGAAAAGAAAATGGCAACTACTATAGTATAATGGGTTATATACTACTATAATGGGTTTATATAGGGTCCTTGAAGTTTGGCCAGACAAAGCTGTTCTTTTTCGCTTGCAAAGAAGCCGGGCCCGTATCAAGTGGCCTCCTTGCACGCTCAATTTGGATTCAAGCTGGCCCTACCTGTCTCCAGCAAGAGGTCGCCGCGGCTCAGTACAGTTGACAGACCAAAATCGGAGGGACTTGTGCACAACATTGATATTCAAGTGGCAGCTCGAACATGTCCCAATCAGGTTTCAATACAGTACTAGAATTCGACCACCAAGACACAGCGACACCTTCTCCGAAATAAGACGGGAACCTTCAGAGTCCAGTGTGAAGAAAGGCCCGACACACCGCAGGGGAAGCTATCTATGTGGGCGGCATCGTGTGGTGTGCTACACATTCGCTTTGGTGTTTGACTCCCCGAGGCTCACCCTCTCGTTGCCGAAGGTGCAGCCGGCCAAAGCTTCTCGCCTGCTGTTTTTTTCGCAAGCTGGATTGGCAGACTGGCATCAGCCGAAGCATGGCCCGTGCTAACTGCTAACAGTGAAGTCTCTGCGAGAACTGGAGCCGCTCTTAAGGCCCAGTCATCCGTTTAGTTGCGAACAAGATCGATCTGCACCACAAAAGGGAAGAAATTAATGCCTCTTGTCTGCAGAGAGCTTCATATGGCTAGACCGTCTGTCCGCTACCACTTGAGCTTTAGTCTCAACTCCTTGAAGGGGGCTTATAGAGGGGATTATATAGGAACTACTGTAGGGGCTATCAAGGGGGATACTAGGAGTTTAGACTATAACTCACTTGACGGCATGCTTTACAGGCAAACTCCGCGACTGCGACTCTTGACAGCAGTATGAGATTTCGGCGCGTGGTTGCGTTGAGAGGACAATGGGTAAAGTTGAGCGTTTGCATGAGTCAGTGCAGCGGCAACAGCAAGTCAAGTAAGTCAGACGGCCTCGAACAAGGCACCCTTTTGACCGTTGTCCCAATAGCGGACGCAGCATGCATTGTATTCTGTGAGCAGTGTCGCGAGACTTGCACAAGCACCCAGTTCTCCACCTAAAGAAAGGTCCGAGTTCTGTTACGACGTAAAGCCACTTGTCTGATTCATGAGATCAGAGATCATGACTGCACTGCTTGGGCAACTCTTGCACAGATTGACTGCACGAGCCTGTCCGGAGGCTGGTGCCGGAGAAAGTGTTGAGGCACATATCCGTCACCGACTCTATGGGAGTGCGAGACTCTTGGCTTTCAATTCGGCTTTACGTGAGCATCCAGCATGGCAGCTCCCAACTCCAGGGCAAGAGGCTGCAAACTGTTGGGATTAGGTTACGTGTTAGTCAGTTGGTCCTTACGTCCTCCCTTCTGCAAAGTTGAGCTTTGACAGGAACTGTTTGCAGAGATGCTTGACGAGTGCATAGAGGAGCAACTTGGCCAGGGGCAGTTGCTATTATTTTGTGGAGATCATGCACTGGATAAAGCCTTATATAGTGCTTGCATAAGCTTGTGACTACCAGTGGGCAAACTGCTAAGGACATCCAATTGGGCGACGAGCACCTTAAAATCACAGATTGAGGCCCTGTACTTTGTGTTCTTGTAGCGCTGAGCGTCGCGTCGCTGATCTGTGTGACTGGCCAGGCGCGCAAAAAGAAGCTGGAAGGCGGTGACAACTGCTCGGTGATGTGAGCCATCGTGCTCACCACGACTATGCGTGAGAGGTTCGTAGTCTCACTTCACTTCTGCACTTGCTCGCAAGACAGCGGACGAGTGTAGCATTGGCGTCCAGTTGTGCCAGCATCAACGCGAGAATCTGTGGCAAAGTCCACTTGGAAGTTGTCTGGGCAGAAACCATGCCACCGGCAAGTCAGGCGTTGTTGCGCAGAAATAGCTTCTCGATATCGAATGCTGTCAAGAGCCTTTGGGCTTTGGCGGTGATTATCATGCAGAGCCGACAAGCAACCAAATGGGTCAGTGGTTGCAAGGCAAATGGCGAGAGTCGGGATCTAAATGCGAAATGCTGTAGGACTACCATTTGTGTGCTTAGCTGTGCTTGGAGCTTTTCTTGGCCAAGGCTACCAGGACCATGCAACCGAAAGCGCCCTGCTAGTTGCAATCTCGCAGGCTGGAGTCTGCATAGCTTTGCTGAAGCAAGATCCTTGTTACGCACAGGTGCTGTGGGGCCTCTCTCAGCAACGCAAACCTGCTGAGAGGGCCTGGGAAGTGGCTGGGAGCTTGGTCAAGCCGTCTTCGATGGTTACACCGTTGAACGTTTCTCTTGGATATCAGGTGGAAGATGGAACAGCCAGGTGCACAGCAATGAATGCCTTGAGCTTCAGCTTGGCCGAGACTTCTGAATGGATGTCCTAGGCTTGCAACACTAGAAGCGCGAGAGCAGTAGTAAGCAGACTGTATGCGAATCGTGTTGCCATCCCTCTAGCTGCCGAGGACTGCGGGAGTGTGTGTGATTCTGGGAGCATTTTGGAGGTCAAAGGCGTGACGTTTTTGAACCCTGGGAAGCACAGCTTGTATACAAGCCCTTCCGGGCATGGTCTGAATTCGCAGATTTCTGATAGCCCCTGTCTTTCAGTAACCTAGCGAAAGTTGTGGTAGTCTGACAGAGGTGAACGAGCCAAAGGCATTCTCAAGCGGAAATGGTATCCTGAGTTTTGTTCTGCTTTTTGCCTCCAAGGTTGTTCTCTCCACGGCAGGCAGGAGGGCCATTGAGCGACTCCGCCAGCGGCCGAATGATCTCGTGGAGAAGGCGCTTTGGAGAGTTCAGAAGTGACACATCTATCCGTGAACGTGCATGCGCATCCGGTGTCCGGTTTGAAGCACATTTCTGAGGATCCCCGTGCGAATTTGTTTGGAAGCTGTCTCCGAAGCAGCCAGCAAATGTCAGGGTGTGACCCGGTATATGAGCAGCTCGTGTTGATTCAGCTGTGCGTGGGCACCAGCTGGCTGCGTGCATCGGCATTTGGATGGGACTTACCTTGCCCGAGGCTGTGGCAGGAAGTTAAGGTGATGGTCCGCCACTTTCCACCAGTACTGCAACAATTTGGAGAATGCCGATTCGTAGAGAGTATGGGTTCTAAAGGGCAGGCTGCGTACGTTGGACCTTCAATTCAAGCCGAAATAATTCTATTTCATTAGCCAGTTTCAGATGGCCTGCGCATCTCTTTAGGGACTGCAGTGAAATCCACCCAAGACCCACGACATGACCAATAAACATGTTTGTTGATGAGCGGAGCGGGCTGCGGATGTTCGCGGGTAGCGTGTGTGGCACAAAATCCCGATATGCGCATTTCCAGTACCCCACCAAGCGCTGGGCAGGTCAAGGAGGCCAACATTCAGCCGCCTTTGCTTCCCAGCCATGCTGGACGTCAGGCATGGGCAAGTAGGAGGTTCGAAAAGAGGTGTTGAGGAAGCAAAAGCCGATTCAGTGGGCCAGGGGAACCGCGAAAATTGCGCTACAAGCGTGGAAGCTATTGTGGAGAAATGTCGATGTCTTACACCATCTGCCTCGTCGAACCAATGTGGCATCCCAACGATGTGCATAGAAGCTTAGGCAACAAGGCTGGCATCAAGTACGCCGACCCAGGATGGAACATGTGCCAGGATGCTGCGAAGGCTAGCGACTCTATCTGTCGGTGATAATGTTGACTGCACATTCCGGACGAGTGTCCTAGTGCTGGAGTTGTCGCAACCTTGAACTCAGCTTGCACTTTTTCTGCGAGGTGTTGTACGTGGATGCTCATCAGCGAGGCTCGAGAAGTCTTGACAATGTGTACTGCAATCAACGCAATACCTTCTCGATGCAGTTCTGCGGCTTGATAAGAAACCAGCACACGCTCAGCGGGGCATGTCCCAGGATTGCCAAAGCCTGCAGCTCTGCGACAAGCCTTCTCCCTGATGAAGCCCAAAACGGAAGCTGAAATTATGGAAACAGTCAACACCCAAACTTTGCCCATACCATTGAAAAGGTTATGACTGCACAGTGGCGCGAAGCCTGGAGGGCACGGTCTCATGACGATTGCAATATTGGATACATTCTACCACCCACCCGCATGTGGCGGCAGTTAGCGCTTTCATAATCTTATGCACCTGGAAGCTTCGCAAGGTAGATTTAGCATACGCAGCTCTTTTCATTGTGCGGATCTGGGGAGGGCCGGGTGGACTTCATGATGCATGCAGTATCTGATGGCGCAAAGCGAATGTCTGAGAATGGGAAGATGGCTCGCGTTTCTGCCGCACTTGGCTCTAGGTTGCAAGGCATGGTAAGACCAAAACGAGACATAGCCTGAGCTCATTAGAGGGGCATTTTCCTGATCAGTCTGACCCCCCAATGCCTAGAAGACATCTGGAAGCAACTCACAAGCATACACGGGGTCTGGTGTGCCTCTTCATGTCTGGATGCAAAGCATCCATCGCAGGCCGCATCCGCAGGCAGGCAGTTCAACCTGTTTGATCCCAAATCCTCCTGGCCAGCATGTACTACTACTACTACTACTACTTCTACTTTTACTTCTACTTCTACTTCTACTACTGCTGCTAATAATACTACTACTGACCACCTCCTCCTCCTCCTCCTACTCCTACTACTACTACTACTTCTACTTCTACTTCTAATTCTACTACTGCTGCTAATAATACTACTACTGACCACCTCCTACTACTACTACTACTACTACTACTACTGCTGACCACCTACTACTCCTACTACTACTACTACTACTACTGCTACTACTAAGACTACTGCTAGTACTACTATTACTTACTACTACTTCTCCTACTACTGCTGCTGCTACTACTACTACTACTACCACCACCGCTGCTGCTACTTCTAAGACTCCTAATGCTACCCCTACTGCAACTGAGATTGCTGCTGCTGCTGCTGCTGCTGTTGCAAAGATGAACACGCTCATGGGAAGAATGAGGACCGCACCATGGGGAGATGATAGGAGTTTTCCAGCCGAATTGTAACCTCAAAGCCCAGAATACTACAGAACCATTGTGATCTCAATGAAAAATGTGTGTGGTAGGTGGAGAAGGCAGGGAGACTGCTCAGCACAGCTGTGCCCACGGTACTACTCAGAGCTGACAAGGGCGAGACAAACATATTTTCTTATCCAGGTGCACCTTGTTTTCAGCAGGTTCGCTGGGGTGTGGACTCTCTGGTCTTTAGTTTGACATGCTAACAGTGAGAAGGAAAGATATTGTACATGCAGTGTACTATAGGCAAAGGCGGTTGCGGTTGAGGCTAATGGCCTTCCGTACAAGTAGTAACCTGATGAGCTTAGAGAACTTCTGCATATGGAGCGCCACTTAAGTTGTACATGAGCTGGCCAACTTTCGCCGCTACTTCGTTGAAATCAGCCGCCGGCCGTCTTCATGATGGTCTGCACAAAAATGTGTAACTCATTTTCTGGACTGATTTTGCCTGCCTTGAGGTCTGTTGATGGGTGTGAACTGCAGCTGTGCGGCGGACGAGCTGGAGCTGAAACACAAGGCCTGTCCAAGTCCAAATTCTGCACAGCTTTGGAGCTGGCTGCAGACCAGAGATGTTGTCCACGCCCAGGAGCTCAAAGAGATCGCCGAGAATGCTGAGAGCGTTAAACAGGATAGTGACGAGGCAGCTGTCGGGTCTATCTTCGTATTTCTTGAGATTATTTCTATCCTTACTTGCCGACGCGATGCCCCCAATTTGTACCTTGCAGAGTTTGGCGAAGTCTTGAAGGCTTTGCGCGAGATCCACTTTGCGAATGCCCAGCCTGTCCTGAACGACTCGGGGTCGAAGGCTCGTGCGACCTCAAAAGCTTGGAAGGAGTTAGGCAGTGCATTGAACTTGGCAAGCAGACAAGTGCCTTCCAGGCGTTTGAAGCTCAACCGGACAAGAAGAACAGCGACGAAGTGGTCAAGCAAGAAGACGATGAGCAGCCTAAATCCACGACTTCTAAGGAGTCAGCCTGGGCTAGGAGCGCCCCTCTGCTTACACCGGCTGTTTCACAGATGGCTGACTGCTTCCTTCATTGGACAGGCGCGACTATTTTCTGCAGAGCAGCGCGAACGTGCTGACGAATGCACTTTGTGCTGTTGTTGAGAACCCTGGTGACTTTGAGGCCCGGAAGGGAGCGCAAGCAAACAGTCACATGTACTTAAAAAGCTTGATTCTGATCGGCCATGCTTGATACGCTGTCGGGGGGTGCTTGCTGAGCTCACGCTACTGCTACACGCAAGAAGGGCCTAAGAGGCCCGTGGCATCAATTCATGTAGATGTATGTAAAATCATGCTTTCTGACGGTCGACCCTGCATGCATATGCACGTTCTAGGGTTGACCGCGCAGAATAAATCATGACCTCAGACATCGCAGCAATAAATGTCATTCCGCTCAAGAAGAGCCTTGTACAAGACACGCCTCTCAACTAACATGTTCCGTGCAGCTCATGTATACAGCCATGAGTGTAGGTTGTACTTTATGGACATTCGGCTGGATACGTCTGTTTCGTGAGGGGCTGATCCACTCATCATCATCATCATCATCGTAATCATCACCACGCCCATTCAAGAAGACTCGCGGCGTTCAAGCGTTTCGAATGTACGTACCCTGACGTCAGCCCCTTATGCACAATGTCATGCGCGCAAATCCACGCCTCGCCAGCTTAGCAGCATGATGGACATGAGTTTGATGTGATGAGACTCGTAGCAGTTAGTGCCGTTTATGGAACTGCTGGCCGTAATATATACGATCACCCCTGCCAAATGCTGTTTGTGTGTGCATGTGGAATTGCGTTTCCTGCGTTGGTGGCCATCGCAAGGCCTTTTATACTGTCAAGGACGGGTCAGTGCACAGCTTGAGTCAAGACAGCGCTTGAGAGCTCGCTAAAAAGTGGTCGGTTTGTGAATATACTCCAATATATACCCCATTATATAGTAGTTTCCATTTTCTTTTCCGTTATCCCAATATAACCCCTATATAACCCCAATAATTAACCCATGTAGTTTCCATTTTCAGTTCCATTATCCCAATGTAACCTCCAATAATAGACCCCAATATTCTATCTACTTAAGGGGGGCTATAACCCCAATAGATACCCTAGTATAATATAGTAGTTTCCATTTTCTTTTACGCTATCCCAATGTTCTTTTCCATTATCCCAATAGAACCCCTATATAACCCCAATATATACCTTATAATCCCCTATATAACCCATTATTATAGTAGTTTCCATTTTTTTCCATTCTCCCAATGTAAACCCCCATATAACCCCCAGAATCCTTATATAATCCCTATATAACCCCTATTACATCTTCTTCTTGGCTTTAAAGGAGAAGCTTGGAGCCGGTCAGTTTGGGACCGTGAGACGCTGGGCTGCGCTTGGCTGCGCCCCTATATTGATATATTGGGGTCATATTGGGATAATGGAAAAGAAAATGGAAGCTACTAAAATAATGGGTTATATGGG